ACTTTCACAAGCTTGATCTGAGGAATGTGTCAAAAGTAGGTGAAATGTGAGTGAATCAACGATCACTTGCTGAGGATGTAGTCAAGGTTGAAAATCATTCTTTTATTTTTGTCTCTGACACATTTTTGGCCCTTACCTTTGGGTGTTTCCTCATTCACAGCCTGGAACTGAGGCGTGTTGGGGTTCCAGCTTCCTGTGATGATGTAAGACTTCCCATCTGAGCTTTTTCCCATCGACTCCTGAAGAAAATACGAGTCAGACGAAGTCAGGGAACAAACACAAACACACAAACCACACGTATGAAAACAACAACCTACCAGGTCCAGCAGGTGCATGTCACTGTTCTTTACATTTTTCCCTGGGCTGAGCAGAAGCCCGAAACACCTTAGAGGCAAATGACAAAAATATGCAAAGTTGAAATTACATGCAAATAAATAAATAAATAAATAAATAAATAAATATAAAAAGGAAAAGGAACAAAGCAAGAACAGGAAGTAAAGACAGAACAATAATATTAGCATGAATAATATTCACTTCACCTTCTGCGGTTTCAGACAAAAAAAACCCTGCCATTAAAAATTGACGTTTTACCAAAGAGATGATAAAATGTTATGGATTTCAACAGATTTATTAAAGCATGAAAAGAATTTAGTTATTAATTACATTAGTTTCTCTAAAAAATTACAATTAAGACAAAAGTCAGGAAAGTAAGAAAATGAAGACGTTCATCCACCAGTGTTCAACATTCAAAATGGTATTTTTTTCCTTCTGCTACCTTTATCTGATGTTTTGGTTATTTCCCTTTGAACTTTAAAGGGAAACGTTCTAATTCCTGGATGATAAAACTGTTTTACTGTAGTCCAATTCAGACTGTCTGAGGTGGGTTAGCAGCTGTGGCTCGACCTCAGATTCCCTGTGGACCCGTGCGTCAGTAAAGATAATGATGCCATGTTTCTCTGCTGCTCGATTTAAACAAATGAATTTAAACAATCATATTTAATTCACTTGTACTCATTGCACTGATAAAGACAACTTGATTTACACATTCAGAAAAATAAATTATATCAAGGAAATTAGAGCTTGACTGTAACAAGCTGGTTGACAATCACAGCAACCGTTCAGGAATAAAACTCACAGCCGTGTTCCAAACCGTGTAATCATAAACCGGTGTCAAGTCGAAGCAGAAGGAAGTTGTCACAGATGGTCCACCGCACCGGATGATGTCACGCAGCACTTTCACATGTGCCACCAGCAAAACAACGTGTCCACTGAGCCCACAATAGCAGAATTTACCAGCAGAAAATAAACTTTAGATTTTTATCAGCGGGAGATTGTAATCTGCAGCAGTTGAAAAAGGCAGGAAAAGGCCAAAGGAAAAGGCTTTTCTGTTAAACCACTGAGTCAAACTGCCCTTATCTCCTCAGAGGCTGCCTCTGGTGTGAATGTGGTTGTGGGTTTGGTTCCAAGTGTCGAATGACAAGTCCCAGCATTCCCTTGTTTGTTCATAGTATTCCCCTTTATCTGGACTTCTATCACAATCAGAAAGGTTTTCCTTGGGCTGTTGGACTATGTTTTTAATTACAAATAACAAAGAAGATGATTTTTGTTCCTGGTACAGCTGTGCTGGTGGTGACACTGACTTCTTATGGGGACACTGCAGGTCAATCATTGCATGAGAGCAATATTTCAAGGATGAATATTTAGTAAGGATTAGAATTAAGGTGCCATTCGAGTCAGGGTGGGTAAAAGTTATAGTTGAAGGGTAAGGGGCCGGGGAATGCATTATGTGTATGTGAAATAAAACCTGCGTGTGCGTTTGTGCGTCTGTGTTACTGTACAATAGGTCATTTATTTACCTCTCAATGGCCAGTTCCTTGTTGGACGTCTGCTGGACATAAATGACTATCTTCTTGTCCATTCCTGCACGCAGCTTGAAGCTCTGCTTGTCCTTGTCTTTTGCCACAGCACTGAACACAGAAATAAATGACAGTCTTTTAGTAGAAGACTAGAGGATAGAGTTAAACGACAGTGACAGACTTGCAGTAATTATTGTGAAGCAGTAAATCGTCCAGTAAACGAACATATAGAGAGTTTTGTTGGTGAAAACCTTTAATAAGACAGACTCCCAAAACTTCAGACTCTGGCTCAGAGCAGACATGAATCAAAATGGCATGTGTTAATCAAAACAGAGTCCATATTAACACTATTCTGGCTTTAGCAGGATTTGTATGACCACTGAAGTTCTTAACAACTGAGGGAACACATGACTTAAAAGTGAAAAGTAACTAATCATATCAAACTCAAACTCAAATTGAAAAGTAACTAATCATATCAAACTCAGTGGAGTCAGAGAAAAAAAAAGCAAAAACATTCATAAGTTTGATGAACCATAACTGAGATCAGTTGAAATGGAAATTGTTTAAAACCCAGTCTCATTGTCACGCTTAACTTTTCTACTGTTACTTCACTGCTACCTCAGGCTCCAGCTCTTAGACAACTTGGATGTGAACAATATTAATACAGCGTCTTTAATTACACATAAATTAGGCATGACTATAGGTGTCCCACCTGAAGGTACCCTTCCCATCATCCTCTCTGATCTCCAGGCTGACGGTGAAGGTAAACAAGTCACTGTCAGGTGTGAGAGGAGCTGGTTGCTGTGACGACAGAATGGCTTTTTTGGCCGACCGCCGAAAAGCTGTGGCAAAGCTGTACAATATCCTGCTGACCTGTGGAGAAAGAGGGAGAGACGGACAGAGAAAAAAAAGTCAAAACATTTCAAACAGTGGCATAATGGCAATAACTTAGGAAATATTGAGTGATTACTGAAAAAAGGATACCAAAGCATTGGTTAACTAAAAGTATGTATCAATTTTAGGTTCAACAAATGGAAAGGGAATGGAAAGAAACTAAAAAATGCATCATTTGATCTAGACAGGAGTCATAGTCGACCTTTAGTTTGTCTTAAGGTTGGTTAAATCGATGAATCATAACAATTATCATGTCTGACTGAGATGACACACGGCTACTCTAATCTCATATATGAAAAAAAGGCTTTGTTTAAGACAGTACTACATTATTGTTTAGTATTAATGTGTAAATTTGTGATAAAAGGTTACACCAATGTCACACTGCTGTAGTGACTACAGATACCACCGAATCCTGCCAGTCTTGACTGCGACTAGATACCAAAATACCCATCCAATGATATTGTTAGACAAAAATTTGATTCTCAGTTCATTTTATTTGAGTGTCCAGCCCCCGAGGTGTCTGTCCAGAAAAATTCTGGCCAAACCACAAATACAGTTGGTGACCTCTGCTGTCTGTTATTGGTTCAGAGTTTATAATCAACTCAATTTGCGTTCCCTTTTTTCAAGACATTTGTTGAGACATGTTCGCAGATTTTGCTTCAAAATTCCACAGAACCTTATATAAAACACTCTGATACAGAAGAAAAACTCCTATTCCTATTAAACAAAAACAAAAATTAAAAGTCTGTGCAACATTCCGACCGGGGGAATTAATTAAAATTATAGTCTTAAAATTTAAAAATGTATATATAAATTAAAATTGTATTTGCCTTGCTGTGGACCCCAACGTTGGCAACAACTGCTTTAGACTAAATGCAAACTGTAATAATATTTTGAATTTAAACAGAGAAGAGTAGAAGTGAGTGAAAAAGCTTTGGTCACAATTACGTACTCAGCACAGTTGTTTTACATTAACTTTGAGTTAAAACAGCCAGGTTTGAAAATTAGTGACGGAGAGCTGGAGGAGGAGCACTGCTGTTATGAATATATTCAAAAAGATCATTTAGCCTCTCATTCTAATTCACGACCCCCCACAACCCCTGGACCTCCCCCACACACAGAGCCTTTGTTTTCTTCCCGGTACACAGCAGGCTGTCACTGATTGTGGGGGGTATATTTATTGGGAAACAACTGAGAGTGAAACCTAAGAGTAGAGCTGGGGGCAGAGGGGTAGATGGAGGGGTGAGCCCGCGTTGATGCAACTTGACATTTAACAAAAAGAATTTATTGTTCAGTGCTATTTCGATCAATTTCCCACCCATAAATACATGTTTCTATGGACTCTTTATTCATTATGAGTCCTTTCCAAGCACAACGCGGCCTTTTCTCTCCTCTGATTAAAACAAACGGGAAAGTACTTATATGGAAAAATATGTAAAAGTATAAATATGCAATGAATTATACTGACCTTTAAGACCCAGTCAATCTAAAGTGACAATAATTGTAAAAACAGGTCTTAAGAGGTCTCTGAAGGTGGTATTTAAAACTATAGAACAGTAATTATTGTCCCTAAAGTACTGCGGCCTGAGTGCTAGTTTCACAGAAAATAAGACAGGAGGTTACATGAGAAATTAAAATGATTCAAAAGAGAATATTTGCATTTGTCAACACATATACACACAGACATTTATGAATACTTATACATATATATGCAAATACATGTATGTTTATATGTATGCATATATATCATACTATATGTATATTACAATTTTTTACATATATAATGTTATATTATATTATTAGAACATTAGTATTCACTTTTCCAACATATTTATATGAAATAAAGGTGAGATAAATGTGGATGTTAACGCTGGATTTGAGACTAGTTTGAAACTCGATGTTCAAGGGTAATAATTTGTTCTTGAAGAGACATCAGCCTCTGTCCAACAGTGCAGTGTGAGTGGCCAAAAAAAGTTGAAAATGGAAGACAGGGTGTGACAATAATACAGAGAGGGGCTTAATGGGGGAGAGAAGGAGAGGGCGAAGAGAGAGGGAGAAACAGCATTGACATTGATGTCCAATCTTTAGATAAAGAGTTGCATTTATACTCAGGATTAAATTGGCGTGTGAGTGAAAATGCATTAGTGCAGATTAAAGGCAAGTGTGTGGGAAACTAAAGAGTTCCAGACCGTGACATCCTGATAAAATGGTGTCTGTCCCTGGGGTTGGTATTGAAGTTCAGGGTGAATGCTTCCATGAGGAACCTTTTTTTTTTTTTAAATGCTCATTGTGAAGAAAGGAGTGAAACTGTTTTCTAATCTATGTTTTAAAAAATAGACGTCATCTCCCACTTATTTCACACAGTTTTGACTAAACTTCCTGTACATAAGCTTTAAACCCATTCAAATAGTCTAAAGAGCATGACATCATTTCCTGCAGGGCTGAGGAACCATGACAATGAAGTCTGGGAACAAGTACTGTTAGGACTGTACATTAGTTGAACATGATCACATAATTTGTATTAAGCACTTTTTCGCCCTCTGCTGTTTCTTCCCTGAATAGCAACAACATGACTTAATTTAACAAAAACATTTCTCACGACATTTTTACTATGCTACTATGACAAGATATAGTAATATAGATAAAACTGCTGACACAAAAGGATAATGTAAATTAGCCTAACCTTAGCCATCCATGTTATGTAATATTGTGAGATTGATAGAGTGTGAATGGTTTGTGTCTCCATAGTGTATGTGGCTCTGTCATTGACTGTTGAAATGTTTAGGGTGGGCACTGGCCTCGCCTAATGACTGCTGAGATTAGTTCCAGGTCCCACAGCTAAAAAATTTTAGTAGCTAGTTTTTATCTGTCAGAAATGTCTTTACTAGGATTTACTACCAGGTCAAACAATTCAATGATTGACAGTGGTGTTAATGAACTCAATTTCAACTGTGCACAGTGTGAAAAGACAAGACACTAGTCAACACAGAAATTGTCTTCCTTTTATGTAAATAATGCGAAGTATCTCATATTTGTGGTGAAAGTGATTTATACTTATTTAGTGGTCAGTACTTTATTATAATGATTAATTGAAAGTACTTGGAGGTGAAATCCAATGACTGTTTGTCCCACCTAAATGACAGTTCCCCAAGCCCTGTTCCTTAGATCAATTTTGGTCCATGGGTCATTTGGTAGCGGGCTGCACAAGGTTGCAACGAAATAATTCATAATTTACTTAATTTAAAGAGAATCTTTACTGTCTTTATTTGTGGATAATCTAACAATTTTTCAATAACACTAATAATAATTCTTTCAGACTTCAATAGTAACAGAATAAAGTCTAAAAGGTGTTTCCTTTAATACCTGTCAGTTGTATGATACATTTTCGTCATCATTTCTCAGCTATATAAACAGGATGGAATCCTGTCAAGATGGCCGCCTTTCACCTCTGTGGAGGGATGGGTCCAGTCCACCGGTTCTTGATACAAAAAAGGTCGTGGAGTGCTGCCCTAAATAACAATATTACTAACAATCATTAAATGCTCACCGCTTCTTGGATTTGGCAGCGGAACACGTGGATCCTGAAGATCTCGGCATTGTAGTGGCTCTCAGTGAAGGCAAAGCAGTCGCTCTCTGGAGTTCCATCATGACCCCTTACGCAGAACAGAATCTTGTAGATAGGGTAGTTGGCAATCTCCGTACTGTTGTTGGGGTCCAATAGTCTGTACGAAAGTCAACAAATGGGTTTATTTTCACACAACCATTTCATCGAAGTATTTAGAATGGGTTTTGCAGATGTTCTCCACACCTGACGGTGCCTTCAGATACGCCTGGCACAGAGAGTGTGACGTCCAGCGGCACCTGGCACTGCCCCCTGAGGATACTCATCATACGCAGTGCCTCCACTTCACTGCGAGGGGCGTTGACCGACGCACACCCAAGATATGTCAACTGGCTGAAGACAACACTGTCTTCGTCTGGGATGGGACTGCATGGACTGCCGTCTGATGATGATTCGTCTCCTGCAGGATGGAGATGTTGGTGAAGAAAACAAAGATGTAAAGAAATGTCAACAAACATTGTTCTGTGTCATTTTGTCTCATTATTAAAGTCAAAGCATCAATACTTCCATCTCTGACCTCGGTACGACCGCTCATTCAGCTCACTCTCCTGAGCCGTCTGCACAGGCAGAACCATCTCCAGCTTAGGTGGAGATGCACTCAGAGGGTCCGAGCCCAACGGCACCAGTGAGGATCGAGTCGTGGAAAGTCTACGGACTGGGACACCAAAGCTATCCATGTTCTGGTTCTCCAGCCCGTGTCCGATGCCGGCTATCGATGGATCCATGAGGACATCTTCTAACTCTCTCTGGAGCTGCTGCTCACTCCCGTTCCCTACGATCTGTTTCACAAACACAAATAAAGACGAGGAAAACTTCAAATTAAAACTTGAAAGAACAACACATAAATATCAAAAACATGTTATTTAGTCAATTAAATGATTAAAATAAATCACTTGTTTTTTGGTTTGGGGCTTTTTACAAGAGTGTTAACTGTTCACTGTTTATCATAAATGTTTAAGAAGAAAAGAGGCTTTGAGTCAAACATGACTAACATGTTTTTCAGCAGGTAAGATTAACAATACATTATATAGTTTTGGTCTTCTATATACTTACTCTGCTGTAGTTGTATACCTTTTGTTTTGTTGTGTGTTTGTTTTTAAAGATAAAAAACAACCCTCTTATAATCATTATTAAACCACCAGGAGCGCTGAACATTTTTTATGTAATTATGAGGATGGTCTAAAATACTTGGAAATGGAAAATGTCAATGTTTTCTATTGAAATTGTTTAAAAATAAAAATGTTAATCTGTTTCCAAAACTCTAAGTTTAACAAACATAAAGTTAAAGGCAAGATCATCCATAAGTGGATGGGAAGCTGTGGAAAACTCCACTCAACTGCCTATGGTTACAGGGCAGTGTGGGTCAAAAACATGGAGCAGACTTCAACTGCAGAGGGTGCTGCAGTACTGGTTAAAGGGATGACAACAGAGCTGCTCTGAATGGATAACCCTTCATTTTTAAATCTGGAATGTGGTTGTTGGTGGATTATTTTGGATAAAACTGCCAAGAAGGCTTTACACACATACACGTAGGTACGCACAATGATAATATTGTAATTTCTACATGCAGTAGAAGTAGTTTTGTAGATCACAGACTGTTCTCTCTCTCTTTGGATTATTTGGTGACAGGAAAAATAATACTAACTCAAACATCTGCACAAATGCTTTCTGATTAGAACAAAAATAATTATATTGTCAGTGGTTTGTGTAGGATGGAAGTACAACAATAACTTTTGGATCATTGTTGGGTGTAGGATGGAAGTACAACAATAACTTGCATCATTGTTGGTTGTTTGTTTTGCTGGTTTTTGTTAAGGTTCAGTAATACAAGAAGATTCCCAGATTAATGCGAGTGCAAAGCCCCATTTCTTTGTTTCCCTAAGTCCAGTCTGACAAAACAACCTTAAAGCTGTAGTGTTAAAATTCCAGTCCTCAAACTACTCTGAAGTGATTTTAAAGGAATTAATTAATGTTGCATAGAACTTTAGAAAGAATATTAGGAGCACAATAAGAAGTGCTGAAAAACAAATGTCACTGGTTGATGTAACATATGAGCTGTATTCAGTAAGTACAGACTTTCAAGTCACACAGAGGACGTCTTATAAATTATAAGAGGAGATTGATTGAGGAGACCTTAGGGGGTTAAATAACAGCAGGTTGAGATATCACTTTTACATAATGGTGGATCCTCAGCTGTGTCTGCTTCTGAAGCTCTGAGTGGAGCAAGTCATGTCTTCAGAAGAACTTGTACAGGTCTGACAGATAGTTCTATTATATCTCAAATTCATACTGTAGAAAAGGCTGAATCAATGGCTGACCACAGCAAACAAGAGCATAAATCATCACAGACAGAACCACCACAGAATTACATCACAAAGAGAAAGGAAGGAAAAATACACACAAGCAGGAGAGTCAGGGAATCAGAGAGGGTTTAGTTAGGAGAGGAAGTTAGATAGAGGAGACTGACCTTAAAGCTGACACCTTCCTCAGAAATTACCTGCGTAACAAACAACAAGTTTAGACACACTGACTTCTCCGCTGACTGACCGGATGGATCGACTGACAAAAGAGTGCAGAGGGGAAACCAAAAAAATATGAGGTTTGGAAACTGAGTGTCAGGGAATGGAGTGATTTCAACTGGTGTCCAGACAAATAAAATATATTTATCGCCATATATGACCTTAAAGGTAGGAAGGAAGGAGAGTAGGTAGAGTAGAGTAGGGAAGAGAGGAGAAAAGGAGAGGACAGGAAAGGGAAAGACGGGAGAGGAGAGGAGAGGAGAGGAGAGGAGAGGAGAGGAGAGGAGAGGAGAGGAGAGGAGAGGAGAGGAGAGGAGAGGAGAGGAGAGGAGAGGAGAGGAGAGGAGAGGAGAGGAGAGGAGAGGAGAAGAGAAGAGAAGAGGAGGAAACCTAAACCCATCTGGGACACACACAGGATGGTGGCTACATCTCTTTCCTCAGAACGTCTTCTGTCTTTTCTCTCTTTATGCAGAGATACAGCCCTCACTACAGTAACAACACAACACAGTACAGTAGAACACAACATAACACAACACAACAACCTCATTTCCCTCACAGTGAACCCAGAGCAGCTGCAGCTGCATGTCCACGATCTGAGTAAACCCACAGCTGAACAGAGATGAACTGACTCACTGAGGTCACGCTGTACAATCACAGCCATGCTGTATTATGATAGCAGATGCTGGACACTCACGTCAGCTGACAGCAGACAGAAGATGTTCTTACAAATGTTCAGTTTCACTTAAGTTGCTAACAACAACACTTAAGTGGGCCACAGTAAAGGCATTTATATAATACAAATGCACGTGGAAAACAGAGTGCTCGAGAAGTTTTGAGGATATTAATTTGGCAATGACCTTGTGATGAAATTTATAACTGAAAAGGGCTGATCACACTGTTTCCCAATAACCGATTTATGCACAAGCAGCGAAAAATGCTTCAATACTTTGCAATAGTAATTCCAAACCGGATTTTTTGAAAATTCCCACTGTAACAAAAAACTCAATAACGATACCGACACAGAATGAATCCCAAGGATTAACAATAAGAACAGGAAAATAAAAATGTTAAAAGAAAGAATGGTTAGTGACATGGTTAATGTATGCAGCTGCACGTCAACATACAAGTTTGGATTAAAAGCGTCAATCACATTCTGTAAAGCATGGAGGCAACATCATGGTGACGTGGTCTACAGTAAATCAACTACATTCTGACATGACATTAAACAGGTTATACTTGAATTACGGCACAAAAATAAAGTAGTGTTATCATCCTTGTGCTAATCACGGGGTATAATACTCCATTACTGTTCTTACATGAGGTTCTGTGAAATGTTTAACTCTTAAATACTTTTGTTCATTCATTGTGTTTTAGCAGAGTACAGCTATGACAATGATCTATCTCAACCACTGGCTACCTCTGTGTTTTTACCTTTTTGACCTTCTACCCAATCCACATCGCAGTGTAATTATACCTGCAAAGTTTCTGGACAGAACAATGTTAAGTAACGGCAAATTGATAATGACTTTATTTATGTCTTTATTTTTATCACACTATGCAGTCCTGCTGCTGTCAGCACTGTAATTTCTTTGTCTTAAACTTAATCTGTTCATATTTTGGTCAACACTAGCTGTTTTCATGGTTAACTATTAGTTATTTTACTATGTGTTTAGCCCAATGTAAACAACAAATGTGCTAACAAATAGATGTTAAAATTATGATTTGGCCAATGTTAGAATTTTTGTTTGTTATTTAATTTTAGTGATTTATTTTTGTACAAGATCTTCCATTTTTTGGACTCAACTTTAGTCGTCTGGAATAATGCTTGGTAATTTGGGGGATTTAAGCTAGTTAAGGCTAACTTTTCATGCCCCTCCTTACGCAATCTTTAGCCATTTTTAGCTACCCAGCTATTTGGCAAAGTACTGTCCACTGCTAGATAATTTTGCTATTTTGGGCTGGTTGCCTAAGAGACATATGTTAGTCTTTTTTTACTGAGTTACTTTCCTAGATTCCTCGTTTGACAGATTTTCAATAGTTTGGGTTTTAAAATTTTAGAACACAAATTAATCTATCTATGAACTTACTTTGAATTGTTTTTGTTTTTTTTGTTTATTAGTTGTTGTTTTTTTTATCTTTCACCTATGTCAAATATGTTTTCTAATTGTATAGCATCCAAAGGAAATTTGAAGCTATGTGATTTTGTAAAGATTTTTAACTTTTTTTTTTCCACATGCCTGAACTGAATCCTCATGCTAAATAAGTTAAAATTATCTTGTGTCCTTTCTCTTTATGTACATCTGTCCAGAACAACTGTTCACCCAACCGTCCTTACCTTCAGTCCTGTCTTTTCATCATCACTACCATTGTTAGTAGAGGTGGGTGTTTCGTCCCCCAGCCGGGAAACGAGGACAAAGTCCTCACTGTTGAGAGTGGACACTGAGTCCGAGGACACGCTAATCTTCCCCACCGAGCCTTTGTCATCCATGGCTGCCGCTGCTAAACTCAGCCACGCTGCTCATGAATGGAAGACGGGAGGAGGAGGAGGTGGTGGGAGATGATGAGCAAAATCACCTAGAAAAAAACAAACAAAAAATGAATAAAAAAAAGGCAGAAATCTGTCATGATGTGATGAACGCCATGAAAAAGCAACTGTCAAAGCAAATAAATTTAAAATGTATTTTAGACTCCCTTAAAGCAGTGTTACCCAACTGTACCATCATTATGACGTTAAAAAAAACAACTAATTTCCCACCTGTTCAGCTAAGCAAGTTATATAAAGACAGCATTTATTGTCAATTAGTAATTCTTCAATTTAATTCAGAACCTTCGTATAGTATCTACACCCCCACCTAATCCTTATGGAACCGGACTACCCAACCTACTACTAGGGGTGCACTTTAATCTGTCTACCACCGTCAATGGTCCTTATAGCATAGTTTGAGAACCACTGCCTTAAACAATTTACTTTAACTTTACAGATTTAATTTCTGTGCTAACTTTCTGTTAAATCTGTGGTTATCACAAAGTTTTACATGTTTGGAACCCTCCTTTTTTTGCTAATGTGTGGGTTTTGCTTGTTAGGTTTTTTAGGTCTAAGAGTTTTAACCAAGCCAATGAAATAAGACAGCGAATCTCTTATCACAAGTGATAATTAAGTATAAAGTCAAGAAATTTACACCACATCGACAGCTTGTTTTTGGTGCATGCAAGTACTCTTGACAGAAAGATAGAAATTATTAAGAAAATATAAATCCCATCAACATTTTCATAGTTGAGGCAAAGTTAAATGTCTAAAAGAGGTTACATTTTGTGAAACACAGGAAGACAGCCACAACAGAAGGTCCTGGCAGTGGTTCAGACCAGGACCAGAACAGGCTATTTCTGTCTGTGTCTCCCCCTTCCTCTCAACTCCTCCTTTTTTTACTCGGTGCCATTCTTTTCCCTTTCACTATTCTTCTGCCTTATCTCTCCCTGACAATCACCAGTGGTTCTGTCTCTCTGTCTCCTAGACCCTTTCAGTTACTGTCCCTTTACAGTTTCAGTTACTGTTTTAAGATCCAACCTTAGCTCAAAACCAGGCACATGTATTAGACAAGTTATAAATTGTACAAAAAAAAACAAAAAATGGTTAAACAGTGAATGCCAATTTTGGAAGAAATTTCAGGGTTGAACATCTTACAAAAACAACTATAGCCTGTGCAATCCAATACCTAAGCCGAAATGCTCAACTTTGCGCGATACACAGTAAAAAGGGACTATTATAGCCTTATCAACAGCACCTTTTTGTATGCGGGGGGACAAAATAAGGTATAGGGATGATATTGGTATTGGTAGATACTCAAAGTTGTCATATCGGTATCGAACATGAAGTTGTATCAACTACAAAACAAGTACAAATACAAAAAGTTATATCAACCCATTCCCAGAATTCTCTTCTCAAAACATTACTAAAACTGACATTCTTTTACATCTCCATCTTGTTTTTGCTGCTTTCTTCATCGGTGTCATCAGAGTGGATCCTCTCCCTTCAGCTCACCCCATCACTATTCTCTGGTCTTCCTTGTCTCCTCCAGCCTGGCAGCACCAGTCTTAAGATCCTTTGTCCAGTTCTTTTATCTCTACTCAGATGCTAATCGCGGCCTTCACTCACTTTATCTCCAAACTGCTCCACCTCAGCAGTCGATCACTAAACAGCTCTGCAACAACAGTACAGTGCAACAGTCTCCAAACCAAACATCACAGCTACTTTCACATCAGCCTAAAGCACCTTCCCTTTTAATCCGACAGATCTCTTATGGTCTCTTGCTCTAATCCACAGAGTTTCTGGGATTAAACAGAAAAGTCTATGACTAGCAAATTCAATCACAATAATTACCCATACTGCAATTCCAAAAAGTCCACTTTTTTGTGTTTTGCAATCATTGATTTCATTGACATGATGTTTTCTCTGCTCCTTCTAGTGCTACACGATTTGACGAAAATGTGCGATTATTGTTGACAATGTTGCAATTTGCGATTATGATATGAATGAATGATGTCATGAGTCTACTTGCTTGAATATCAAGGACAACAAGGAGAATAAGGATAGTTTGAATATTTCCCAACTCAAAACACTTAATATGACATAAGAAATGCAAAACCTGAAGTTTATATACTGTTTTTATTTCTAACTTAATATTGAAAAATAAATAATAAATAAAAAAGTTTGAAAATAAATGATATTTGATATTTCTAAGAAGGGCATCCGTGCTAAGCGCAAAGGCAGTAGCACAATTGTAGACCATTTTGGTAATCCTTCCATGTACCACTTGATAAAATAATAAATAAATAAAGTAATAGAGGCATTTTTGCAAAGTTCAAATGAAGACAACTTGAAAGTTGTAGAGTGGTCCTGCCTGTTTGCAGGCAGCGGCTTTTAAGTTCCAATTGGATTTACAGTATGCAAAATAAAAAGGTAGAAAAAGAGCCTAGGCCCAGATTCTGTTTTAGTGATTAAAGTTTCAAATAAGCCTTTCCATCTAGTACTCAATAAGTACTACATGGAAAGCAGTCTTGGTACATGTGACGGTCCTTGTCTGATGGCAGCATAATGGATGTTTTCATCTTTACAACTGAATAAAGAATCCATGATGGAGCTGCAGTCCTGTGTCCAGTGGACTGTCAGGCTTAAATAAGGTCACATGGTCATGATTCGTTGAAACTTGACCATAGCCATTTCAACTTGAACCTCGATACTGCATTTGTAGTAGAGCTCAGGGATAGCGAAGAAAAAGATCCGCAAGGGTAGCTGGTTTCTCCTGTCCAGCATGTGGATCACTTTGCAACTTTGGGATGTAGCGACTTTAGCTTTGTACGTTTTACACAGCACATCTTGCTGTTCACCGTCGCCATACCTTAATCCAAAGTATCGCCATAAAACAGAAGTTGCTTTTTTTTTTATTAATTGTGTAGCACTATCTCCTTTAATTTACCTTTATAACAAATGCATGTGTTAATGTAACCCACCTAAACTCATACTAATTTTCACTAGAGGCCACATTAGCAACACAACCTCAAAGTACCAGTGGTATCTGGAAAACTGCATAAATGTAACTACTCCATAATGTATAAATATATGTGTCTGCAATTGATTATTTATTCAAATTACAAATAGTGTCCATTGCTCTGTGTAATAAAGAAAACATTAAATTTATCAGGTTAGGAAACTAGCACTCAAATCAAACTTTTGCCAGCCTCTCTGTAGGAACACACACAAGGTTTTATTTAATGTTAGAGTGAAGTTCTACCCTGATGCCACACTACTTTTATAAACATTTTATCATGTTATTGATCAGTAGACAAACCTCTCTAATTGAAAAAATAAAAACAGTACACATATATTCAGATTTACAACATGCAAAGGTGTGTAATTGAAGGCTTTCAAAGACCAAGACCAAGACCTTCTCCCAGGTATGTTTGTCACATTCACAAAATGTATTCATGCATCTAAATTGTGACTGCTTTTTTAAAACTCTACCACTTTCCAGCTGAATGGTCCGTTTTGGCTCTGCCAGCTGGGCACTGCATGCAGCCGTGCACCAACCAAGTCAGAGGAAGACAGCCAGACACAGCCAGAGAGCATTCAGGAATTGTGACACAGTCCCTTTCAATGTGCCTCACAACAGTAAATTCAACAGAGGACTCCAGAAGATAGCGAAAGGATAGAATGATTTGAACGAGTGACGCTTGAAAAGGAAAGGGAATGAGAGAATATGAAATGCTTCATGACAGCATTATTATTTTTGAAACTGCACACAAGCAGACTCATTTAATTCCTATTTGTACTGTGGGTACTTATGTGTACACACCTCACTACAATTAAGGCTTGCAGCTGATCACAAGCCTCCATGTAGCCTATCGTACTCTGCAACAACAACAGCACAGGATCACATGACTAGAAAACAACCTCAGTGACAGTGTGCAGGCCTTCTTATAACTTAGGAAATGCAGCAGTGGCTACAACGAATACCCTGAGCTCAACAATACATGGTTGTTCACACACATTTATTCAGCTGTGGTTTCTAAAGCACCAAGCTGCGGCCTATTAGGGAAATATGACACCTTTTTGTGCAGGGTAAACGATAACCAAAAAGAAACAAGCGGTTGTTAAGGGTAAAATAAAGGCTTCAGTTTCCATAAATACACGGGTAATGGAGAAACACAGCTGTTGTCAAGTTTTAATGCTATTTAAACACAAAAATGTGGACCAACACTAAAGTCACTTTTATTCTGTTGGAATCCAATGATAATCACTGAAGGGAGGATATTTCTCAATGATTTTTAGTATCTTGATTTAAATGATTTAAAATATCATGACAGCTACTCTGTAACATGAACTTAATCTTGGAGAATGCCATTGTTTTTGTTTAATAGAGTAATTATGTCAGATTCAGGCTTTTCCCGAATTTAAAATATATAATATAAATATTTAATATATATCTTTTAATTACCTGTTTTATATTTGTGTTATTTCATACAGTGGAACCTCCAGATACGAGCACGCCTACAGACTCCGACACTAGGTGGCCGAGCACTGTGAGCAGCCCACTCCGCCTCACTCCATCACTTCACCTGTTCGGGGATTCCATAAGCATCGCTTCTGTACATAGCGTTGTCTACGTGATTTTTTCTCTATTTTGTGCATTATTCTTCATAATAGTGATGAGTCTTGAGAGAGTGAGTGGTAAGTATGATAGAAGAAGACGAAACGCATGGTGAAGATGTAAATATGCACGTGGTGCCCGCTAAAGAAGGAATACAAATCGAAAAAAGTAAAAAAATAAAAAGTTATAAAAAAAGAGAAAGTTAAGTACGGTACGGAGTCAAGTGTCTACGTATGGGGCGATTCTCTTCCCTTCCTCCCTCCCTCCCTCCTGCTCCTCCTCCTTTGTAGAGCATATACCATAATTTTAATACTGTATAATAGCAACCCTAATACTTCCACAACAACACACCATTGAATCCAATGGTTCAGCCTGGAAACAGTGAACTGACTACTAGCTGAAATGGCTTTTTCAAATGCCGCATTTCTTTGGAGTTTAAGCAAGAAAATGACTGTCCACCACTTTCTACTTACAAAACAAAATAGCGCTTCAATACAGTATAAGCCCTGAATACTCCATTAAAGCATTACAACAACATGGTGACATTTTTGGTTTCTTCAAAACATATTACTCTACAACTTTGTTTGCTGTCCATCAACGCCTCTCCGCCTGTGCAAAGTTGCATTATTCTTCATGACTGCTCACTCACTGTGGCCCCTCTGCATATTCCGACACTCAGCAGAAGCCCAGAAAAAGGCCATGAGGGACAAAATAACAACAGCCATATGCTAGCAGACTTTCACGTGTGATCTTTAAATATCTTTGCGGCTCTAGCAGCTCGTTAAATTTGTTTGAACTTGAATTTCCTGCACAGTGATCCTTGAAAATAGACGTGCCACAAATAAACTACTTTCATCTCATTCCGAGCAGCTGGATGAAATACTAATCCACAAACTCTGGTGACAGCTACCCACCAGCAGCAGCAGCAGCACCGTTCAGTCTTCACCATCTCCTCAATAACAGGTGAATCTGTCTGGACTGTCATTGGTGTTTGAAAGAATGGAGTGCTAAGGCTAAAGTCAGTAACAAGGCGTAACAGGAGAAGTGTATTAGAACGCCGTTGGATAATATATGAAAGGTCAACATAGAAACCATCAGTCAGACTCTTTCTTTTAACATCCCAACACAAGTGGGCAAAATCTCCTGGGATTCAAACCACATTATGATGTGATGGTGGCCTGTCACAAGTAGTGTGTTTATTATAGCAGTGCAGTATTATTATTACCTTGAATCTACAAAGGCTTCAATAGGAAACAAAGGATTTTGATTGGTGTATTTGTCTGCATACTATTTGGTTTGCATGCAAACTGTAAAAAAAACCCTACTAATTCCTGGTCCTGGCTATAGTTAAATGAAAATGCCATTCTGGAGTGGTTTGCACAGGCACAAAGGGATTACTACAACACAACACAACCTGAAAGGGAACATGTCTTTTCATGTCTTTGAAGCCCTTTGTGATAGCATTGACGCAAACAGAATGTAAAAGACAAGAACAATTAACTCTACAAAAATGATTTTGATATTACATACATAGGTACATTTTAACTAGTCAAAAGCTATTGTTTTCCATTATATTTTTAGTCTTGCCAATCATTCTGCTAAAACCTATTTGATTTACTTGTTCGTCTTCCTTTGAACTTCACAGGTGCAGACAGGAATATAGGAAAGCATGAAAGGTTGAACGTGAAAGAAATGTAGCTGACACACAGGACAGAATAACCCTGACAAGGATAGGACATTAAAGCATTCAACATAGAATGAGAACATCCTTCCTTACAAGAAGAATAAGATATTAGCATGGTTCCGTACAAAAGAGACAACCTATTCAGTGCAGTGATTCCACCAAACAAATCCAATATTAATGGATGAAAACATACAGTGTTGAGAACCAACCACATCTAAAGACATTCTAGGAGGCTTTTATCCAGTGGCACACAGTTACAAAGAATAACGTTTAAAGAGGTATAAACAGCTATCTGACAAAAGACATCCATCAACAACTAATAAGACAAACTGAAATTCATATGTGCAAAACAAAATGTAGCCAGATATGAGATACTCTTTATATGACAGAGACCTCATTTGATGGACAAATATTTACAAGCTGACAAATCTGTCTTTTGTGTGTTTTGTATAGGTGTGCACATGTGGGCATGAATGACGGACAACACGGGTTTATTGCACTACCTGTGCTTCAGGAAGTGCAACAGGAACAAAGAGCAGAGTCACATGAGGCGGTGGTTGGCAGACTTGGCTTAAAGTGTGACACTTAAAACTATTTAATCCCACAATACATCTGTTACAGTAACATTTATATGACACTAAGGTTCTAGTACTGGGTAGTAGGATAATTATACTGTGTTGTAGTTCAACTTTTGACATCAGCTGTGGTATTTTAATGACCGTGTTGCTTTCTCCAAGTATTGAGCTCATTCACAAAATACAGCAGAGACAACAGACAGCTGCCTTACAATGATGGAAGTATAAAAATCAGTGCACACCACACACTGTACTGTACATAAGAAAGAAATCCATTTTATAGGAGACTTCAAGTGCAAAAGTAGTTTCTCAGTTGGAAATCATGTGATGATCATAATTTAAAAATTAATTAACAAGAAAAGTTACAGGAGGCTAAATCTTCACAGAGATATGTGGCTGGTTCCTGGTTTTGCACCTTCACTTTTGTAACTTTAGTGTTTAGCATTATATTTGGGAGGCAATATACTTAATGACACCCCTAAATCGTCAGGGTTTTTTTTTTCTTCAGTTTTCTATATATCTCCAGATCACAACAAAAGTCCTATCAAATATGTAAGAAAAGAAATAGTTCACCTAACATGGCATGTTGTTTCTGTGTACACATGGTCACACGGACATGTTGCCATGGCCACATGTGGGCAGTGTTTTATGAACATGGTTTAATGTAGAATTTAACTAAATGGTGAGCTATAATAACTGCTGTCATTGAAGAAAAAAAGAAAAATACTGATGTCCTTTGTGTATGCGTCTGTAGCCTCAAAACTGTTTAGGCTGGATTTCTTCAATTGGTGGTCCATCAAAAATAAATCAATGAGGTTTCAGTTAAAAACAAATTATAATAATTTCACATTGAAATGTGAGTGGATTTTAACCAACTTTTTAAACGAAACTCATTGTTACCAAACAGCATAACAAAAAGTAACAGTCAAAATACTTTAAATGACTTTTTAGTAGATTTAAAGTGGTAAAAAAAATCCTGTATTTAATTGTGTACTTTGTTTACAAACACTGTTTACAACATTTATAGTTGCTATGGTATACTGGCCAGCAAACCATAGTGCAGAGCCCCACTCTTCTGTGCAACTGTACACTGCCAACAATTTCACAAACTCTAAATGTAAGAAACAATTCAAAATGAACTCGTGTTTACACTGTTACACTGTCTCTGTTCTTTACAAAAAAAAATCACCCAGATCAGTTGCAAAAGAAATACAAAACAAGGAAATAAGAGTGGCAGGCAAGGCAAAGGCAAATAAACTGATGAATGAATTATTTATGAGATGTGTGAACATGATTAAATTGAACTTTTATATTTTTAAGGCAGTCTCTCCTTTTTTCCATCGATTGCTTATACACTAGGGATTCATACTGTGATGTGCACCCTCCTGGTGTCTGTGTTCAAGCTATTGAAAGAAATGCATGTTATGGTTTCTTATATTGACTCTATGGGGATTTTCCCATTTTAATATACAACACCTAGCCCTTCTGTTAACAACTACTGCCTCCGTTAGCCTCCTACCAACCTTCCCAATGTTAGCAAATGAAGCTGATTAGCAGACATCATTCACATTCTCTTAATATGATACGTCACACACTGACTATATCTCGAAATAAATGCCTCTGTTGACACAGATAAATTTCGCTTTTGTGAACAAAAAAGTTGAGAAATGTGCGAATAAACTGCCCGTGTCTGGAGAGCGCAGTCAGAGGCCATTACTGTAAACTGGAGCTAGCCTCCGTTAGCCATGCGAAGCTAAGGCAGATATAGCCAAAACACAACATACATTTAAACAAGCTAAGAAGACAGTGGCCTATAAGTTTGAGAAAAATAACAACAGCGAGTGTTCAACACCTTACCTTTATCCCCACGGGTTCATTCAATCCAATAACGGCAGGAACAACATTGCACTTTCCCAGTAACATCAGCAGCCAACTGCATCCATCCAGGACCAGCAGCAGCAGAGCTGTAAACACAAGAAGAACCAACCCGCTGACAGAGCCACTGCGCATGCGTCTGTCAGAGGCTCCCTGCCCTGAACACAGCTGAGGGGGAGGAGGAGGAGGAGGAGGTGTTCGGGGTTACTCCCGTCATGTTGGTTTTGGTCGGTCGGTGTATGAAATAAATAAAAATGGTACGACATTAAGCTGTTTTACACGTATTTGTTTGGTATGTCTCTTTGGTTTTCTAAGCTATGTCATTAAATACGTCATTCTCCCACATATTCCCTAATAGGTTATTTTCGCCCTCATTGTGTCATTCTAACCCAACCTAATGAGGCTTGCGGGCCTATATTTTGGGCTCTGGTTGGGTTTGGGAGTTCGGTCTCTGTCTGCCGCCTTTTAAAACACTGGTGTTAACCACAAAAGCAATTCACAGACCTTTTCTCCATTACATTTAGCAGAGGCTTTTATCCAAAGCAACTTACAATCGTGGAATTTCCGACCAATGAATTAAGTGATATGATTGCCAAATGAGTGCCAAATGCTCATCATGTGATGTGTTACAATTGTATTATTAGATTTTTTTTTATAATTAATTATTTTATTTGGTAAAATGCACCTCTTCTTTCCAACCCTGCAGAGGGTGCTATATCTCAAGTGCCCTGTTGCATGAGTGTGTTGCCAATTAATTCATATAAAGAATTAATTAAAACCTAGTTAGTTAGCCTAGTTAGTTCAAACCTGAGTTAATCTAAAGTAAGCCCGAATAATTCCCTGTGTTTGGCAGCACTCTGAGCCATCGTTGTTTTGAACATAGAGGTGATGAGGGCCAGCTCTCTGGGCCTTTAAATCACTAAACCACAGCACTCGGGCATAGCCAACACACCCACATTGTGTCATTGTGCTTCAGTTTCTTCCTGTTCAGCCTGTCAAGGCTTGTTGATTCAGCAGAGCAGAACTTGGAAAGACAGTTATATACTTCATGGCTTGTAAACAAATGAAATGTGCACACGTGTGCGATTAGTGCTGAGTAAATAAACTGGCAAAGGCAAATAAATTCATACAAACTGCAGAAAGCACCCCCTGGTGTTCCAACTACACAAATTCACCATTGCGAGCAAATGAAAAAGTACAGCTCATAAAAACTAAGTTAATGAGTGACAAAACAGGCAGTTCTGAAGGACAGTAAAACACTGTGTCACAGGAAACTTTAAAACAAAACTGTTTAAAAGCACAAGATCAGACATGAACAAACTGTTGTAATTGGAACGACATTACGTGACCCATGACCACAAATACTATCAACTGTCTGTTATTGGACTACAGGAAAACTTTAGACTGTGGATATGGGAAGTTGTTTTACAACTTTTTATGTCTTTTTACCTATTCACATCTGCTTTAGTTTTCCTTTTTATAAACTTCAGCCTATTATCTTAGCTTTTAACAAATTCTACAGATTACTCTTAGTTATCTATCTATCTAATTGTTTGTATTTTTAAGTTTGGTCTAACTACTGCTTTCATTTTATTTAGCCAATTAAAACAAAATGTAATAGCCTTCTTTTCTAACCTTACTTCTGTATAAACTTGCTGCTACTGCAAAATGTTAAGGTAACTCATGGCATTTTTTTAGGTAAACCAATCTTCTTTTGTCTTATGTTGTCTATGTTCAGCTGTTCAGAATTTAAATTCTTTTCTAGACATTTTTCCAAATTGTCTATTAAATATTGTCTTGCTACCTAGTTAGCTAGCTATAGCTAAGTCAGCTAGTTAGGTAACTATATTTAACCTTTATTCCTTTACTTTTAGCAATGTGCTCTAGCTTCTACTGCCTTTTGCTAATTCCAGAGGATTATATATATATATACTGTATGTGTATATATATATATATATAAAACCAAGATGACAAAAATCAACGGACAGTGTTTGTGCTAATCTTTTTATTATAGCATGCAATTTCAAGTGCTAAACTCTTGGTTTATTTTCATAACTCCATCTCCCGGCTCAACAGTTAAGCAGAACACTGCTTTAAACAAGCTGTAATACAATGTAAACACTGCCTGAAATGCACAGAACAATCAGTCATTTCAACAACACTCGGTTGTCAATAGCAAGCACATGAGATCGTCATCATACA